AAAAGAAAAAAAAAAAGAGATGATCGACATGGCCTGAGCCAACGAGTGATCTTGCTCAGGCTCACCTCACCCACTTGCTGGTCCTCGGGGTTGTCTGCTGGTGTGGAGTGGATCCCACAATCCCAGACTCCGATGATGCTGCGAGTGGGCACGTGCTTTCCTGCCCAGCAGATTCCTGCCCGAGCCTGACGTGGTGGGTGGTTTGGTGAAGTCTTGTTTTCCCTTGCCAAGGCTCGAGTGAGGGCTTGTTTGCCTCAGCTACACTCGGACCCCAATCCCTAGAGGGTGCACCCGAAATGCACGGGAGGGAGGGCTTCTCAGCTCTGGGGTGCAGACAGAGGAGTTGGGGGCCCGGGAAATGAGTAAGTGGGGGAGTCTCAGCCAGGGCATGCAGCCAGTCAGCAGCGACTTTGCACAGCCGAGATGTTCCGGCTGGCTGCCCACCCACCATAACCCCAGACTTCCGGTGGGCTGGACTGGGCCTTGTTAGTTGCTCAAGGCCTGATTTTCCCTTTCCCTTTATCCAGGACCTCCCAGGCCAGCACAGTCGGTGTGCAATAAATGTTATTTTTTTAAAGAGGTTTTTGCTATAGGGTGCGTGGCTCACCAGAAAGAGAGACAGAAAGCAGGAAATCACCCCCCAGGGGGAATGGCCACGCTGCAATCCCTTCTCCTCCATTCTCCTGGGCACGCACACACGTACACCGGGCATGAGTTTAAGCTACCTGGTCCCAGACTGGAACCGCGGTCTACTACATGGGAGTTCAGCGACATAGTCATTACACTAACTGCTGGTCCCTGCAATAAATGTTATTTGAGAGAATTTTGGTGGTTTCGTTTATTAAGCAAGATAACCATGAGCTATGTTTGAATCTCATAGCAAGCAGGAAACTCCATTTACAGAGAAGGAAACTGAGGCTCATGGGACAGGTTTGCCCAAACTCCCCACCCATCTCAGAGCTGCAGTTGGAGGGGCTGTCCTGTCTGGGGCAGGATCTGCCACTTCAGCCTGGGTCTCTGCCCCTGGGCCTTTGCCTCTGGGCCTCAACAGCCATGTTGGGCAGGAGGTACCTTAGAGGCCCTGCCTATGTTGACACCCGGGGTTGGTGCCCAGGCTGGTGGCTTGGTCTCTGAACAGCGGCCTCGTGGGTCTGTGCAGACAGGTGGGCCAACGTGAAGGTGGAGTGTGAGCCGAGCTGGCAGCCCTTCCAGGGCCATTGCTACCGCCTGCAGGCTGAGAAGCGCAGCTGGCAGGAGTCCAAGAAGGCGTGTCTGCGGGGTGGTGGCGACCTGCTCAGCATCCACAGCATGGCCGAGCTAGAGTTCATCACCAAGCAGATCAAGCAAGGTGAGGCTGCCAGTCTCCACACTGGGGGTGGAGGGCAGGGCCTCTCCTGCCCTCCTGTCCTGCCCAGGAGGCTCAGAGAATGGCCTTTGCTCCTGCTGCTGGCCAAGGCTGACCTCTCAGTGTCCTCTCTCCTCTGCTGCTGCGACACACTCCCAGAGGTGGAGGAGCTGTGGATTGGACTCAACGACTTGAAACTGCAGATGAATTTTGAGTGGTCCGACGGGAGCCTTGTGAGCTTCACCCACTGGCACCCCTTTGAGCCTAACAACTTCCGGGACAGTCTGGAGGACTGTGTCACCATCTGGGGGCCGGTGAGACACCCCTCCCTATCTCAGGGCTGCCACAAATACACTCCCATTCTCCCGGTGCTACTCTAGCTGAAGGACGTCCTGCACTGTCCTACTCCTGGTGCCTGCCTATAACCCCTGCCCTCGGCCATCCCCCTCTTTCCCACTAATCCTTCCTCTTTCACAAGGAGTGACTGCCAGGGTTTGGGTCCCACCTCCACGCCCAGCTAGCTGAGTCACCCTGGGAAGATTACTAGAGGGCTACTGGGAGGATTAAGGGAGTTAACTAGTTCTTGGTTTCCTGCCAGCTGCTGTACCCTGCCAGCAGGTGGCATCAGCACCCCCATGTGGAGATGCTTCACAAGCAAGACTGCTCTCTGCTGCCCAGGGCCCTGTCTTCTCATGGACTTATGGGGCTTTGCCTCTGCCATTTGGTTTTGGCTTAGATGTGGTGTGAGCAGGCAAAGGAACTGATGCAAGGCTTCAAGCAGAAATGAGACCCTTTAGAAAGGGACAAAGCCATCGGGACAGGCTACCTGTCTCAGACAGACAGGGCATTCTGCTGTCACATAATGCACACAGTGTCAAGGACTCCAGTGACAAAACCATTTGCTTTAGGGGATGCTACTTTAAAGCTTTTCTTTTAATTGCCAGAGGGTATGTGTGCTCGCCAGAAAAAGAAAGATACAGTGAGCGAGAGAGAGTGAGAGAGGAAGCTCCCTAGTGCCCCAGCAGAGCACTGTCAGGCTGCAGTCCCTTCTCCATTTCTCCATCCTGCTGTGACTTGGGGCAAGCGCAGTGTATTCTTCATGCTCCTGGGGCTGGGACTGGCACTATGCTGTTGACCATGTAGGAGCTGGCTCCCTTAACCACCGGGCCGCAGGGCTTGTGCCTGTAAATACAGACCTTTCCCCATTTGGACAGTGCTTGTTAACTAGCAGGGCATTTGCATGTCAACGCTGTTTTCATCAACCCTGGGGGGGGCTTTGGAACGAGTCCTGCTCTCCCTGTTGTGCAGCGTGGGATGCAGAGATGTCAGGCCATAGCTCAGAATCACACAGAAGCCAGAGATAGAGGCAGGTCAAGAAACCAGAAGATTTGGGAGATTTGGTGGTAGTGGTGGGGGGAACTCTCCTTCACCCTGTGTCCCCAGGAAGGTCGCTGGAATGACAGTCCCTGTAACCAGTCCCTGCCCTCCATCTGCAAGAAGGCGGGCCAGCTGAGCCAGGGGACAGCTGAGGAGGACCATGGCTGCCGCAAGGTGAGGGGGTGTCTGGAGCTGCCCTGGCTGGGGCAGCCAGAGAGGCTGCCCAGGAGGGAGCAGTGGACAGAATCCCACTGGGCATCCTCCCTTCCCTACAGCCCCTCTTCCTCCAGCTCTTCTGACTGCTCTGTTTCTGAAGGAGTGACATTGGCGGGGGGCGGGGGACTATTGGAAGAAGCAGTGCTCCCCCCCATCCCGGAGTCCCCCTCCCTGGCAGTCACTTTCCAGGTACAGAGAGCACAAGAAGGCAGGGGTGTGCAGCCCCCCCTAGTCTGTAGGGGTGAGGTGGGTGTGGTCTCTGTACCCCAGTCCTGCTATTCCCCTGCTTTGTTGGCCCACAACCACACCGTAATCCATGTGTGCTGCTTGCCCGTGTCCTTGTGAGGGGTGAGGCTGCCCTGGGTGGGCACATGCCTTTTCCTCCTCTGTTCCTGGTACAGTGGGCTTCTGGGAGACTTTCAGAGAGGGTCGGGGTGGGGAGGGGATTAGGTGGGGTAGTGAGTGTATGGATGAGGCTGAGTGGGTGAGGACCCTGTGCCTCCTCCAGGCCCTCCCAGGCTCCTGTCCCGGCTCCCCATCCGAGCAGTGGTGGAAGCGTGGGTGTGGGGGGGGGTGTTGTGGGGGAAGTGTGGTGTGGTTGGGCGCTGCATACCGGCCACTCTACACCCCTCTGGCTCCTCCCTCCAGCCCCCTGCTGCTGGTCCTGCTCATTCTGTTTTCCCTTGGATTAAGCCCCTTACCACGCCCCACCCACACCCCAAAGCCTCCCCCAGGAGAGGAGGGGAAATACCAAGAGGAGTCTGCCCTAGGGGAGGAGGGAGAGAGCAGAGCAGAAATGAACTCAGCCAAGGGCTCTGGGGTCAGCATGGCCAGGGCTTGGCCAGCGGTTCCCTCCTGGCTGGGTAGAGTAGGTAGGTGGAGGGGAATCGCAACTGCTGGGCACCAGGGCCAGCCTGGAAAGCATGTGGGATGGTGTTGGGTGGCCACGGTTAACACCCCGGGTTCTCCAGGATCTTAGCACAGCTCCTCCTGGGTGTGTGGACCCCCATCACACCTGCTTCTCTTCTGCGCTGGCCTGCGGCCAGTCCTGCAGGGGGCGATACTGCTGCCTGTCTCTCCTCTGCAGCTTCTGACTCCTAGCTGAGGGTCTGCCCCTCCATCCCACCCCTGGACCAGGCACATCCTCCCTAACTCTGGCTTTCCAGGCCCCTGGGGACCACCCAGCCCCCTCCACATCCTGGCAACATTCCCAGCTTTTCAGCTCTGATTTCCTGGCTGGCTGGCCATTTTCCCACTGTGTCTCTTGGTTCAAATGCCCAAGAGAAGAGTACAGCGCGTCACGTATCTTTCCGAGCCAGGCCGCCGGCCGGTCACTGGCTGCCATCGGATCAGCTGCCCTGGGGCCTTGCTGCCACCCTGGGTCACAGTTGTGGGTAACGGTGAGAGGTGCAAGGGTGGAGAGCGAGCGACTGGGTGCAGAACACAGCCCAGGAATGAGTCTCTGGAGTCAGACCAGTCCCCTCTGTCCTGTGCACATCAGTGGCACCTCCAGGGCAGCCCCTGCCCCAGAGTGGAGAGGGTCCTCCCCACAGACGCTCCTCTCCCGCCCACTCTCTCGAGCCAGGGTTGGACGTGGCACAGCCCATCCTGCTACTGGCTGGGGGAGGACCAGGTGACCTATAGTGAGGCCCGGCGTCTGTGCACCGACCATGGCTCCCAGCTGGTCACCATCACCAACAGGTACCTGTGCCAGCCTAATGCAGCCCCTCTTCTCTTCAGAAGTTTATCTATTTATTTCATGAGAAAGAGGCACCTCCCCCGACAAGGTCGTCCCCCCAGTCTTAGCTGGTCTGATGCACTCATAGGCATACATTCGCACGCTCGGCAGGGAAGTCCCAGGGCGTAGACCAGGACCTTCTCATGTGGGCCCAGTTGGGTCAGTGCTGCTCCACCGCATGGCCCCAAGAATGATTCTCATTTGTTAAGCAAAGTTAGTGGGACAGGACCTGGGCGGGGCAGGGGCAGGCATGGCAGGAGGCCCAGGAAAGGCCTTGGTCATGTCTAGCTTTCTCTACTTTCCTTCTCAGCAAAGCAAGGGACAGTAAAAGGGGGAGTGGGCTGCCTCATGGGTCAGGGCCCCCGTTCCCTGAGCACAGTGCTAGCTAGGCCCGGCACCCAAGCTCCCTGGTGTGACCCATGGCCCCGGGAGTGGTGGGGGTGGGTGAGCTCCCTGCCTTGACCCGCCCATCTCCCGAAGGTTTGAGCAGGCCTTCGTCAGCAGCCTCATCTACAACTGGGAGGGGAAGTACTTCTGGACGGCCCTGCAGGACCTCAACGCCACCGGCTCCTTCCGCTGGCTCAGTGGGGATGAAGTCATGTACACCCACTGGAACCGGGACCAGCCCGGTGAGCCCCTCCCCTGGGCACTTGGTCTGCCCCCGTCTTTGATTTGCCTTGGTGACACGGAGAGGCCGCAGTGGACTGGCCCAGCCTCCAGGCTTCACAGTAACCCGACTCTGTGCGATGTGGCCTAGGGTTAGAAACGCTCTGGAGCCAAACTGCTGGCTTAGATCCCAACCCTGCAGTTTACTAGCTGCGTGTCCCCTGAGCCTCGGTCCCTCATCTGTCAAATGAGGAGAATGGTGCTTTCCTCAGGGCTGATGCGAGGCTTCACTCTATGTACGGCTAATGCTGTGTATGTAAAGCGCTAACAGCCAGACAGTGCTTAGAGCGGTGAGTGCAGCAAAGGGCTTGGTGTTCCTATTTCCTATTCTCGTCTTCTCAACCCTTTCAATAACCAAATGAGGTCGAGGAGGGGACAAGCTCAGAGAGGTGAGTGACTCGCCTAAGATCATGGAGCAAGGATGCAGGATCGTGGCTCCATTCCCTTCCTCTCACTGGCCCCTGCAGAGAGGCCAAGCTGGTTCCCAGTGCGGGGGCCATGGTGCTGCCCTGCAGGGCAGTGAGGGAGGAACAGACCGTAGGTCCTGCCTAGCCTGTGGGTCTCCCTTCTCCCTCCTTCAGGGTACAGCCGTGGGGGCTGCGTGGCCCTGGCCACAGGCAGCGCCATGGGGCTATGGGAGGTGAAGAACTGCACGGCCTTCCGGGCCCGCTACATCTGCCGGCAGAGCCTGGGCACACCAGTGACACCAGAGCTGCCCGGGCCAGACCCCACGCCCAGCCTCACTGGAGCCTGTCCCCAGGACTGGGCCTCGGACCCCAAACTACGGTACTGCTATAAGGTAGGATGGCCCGTTGGCATGGCAGAGGGGGTAGGGAGGACAAGAACAAGAGGCAGTCCCCCCCCCCCGGGGGGCCCAGAGACACCACACCAGGCTGCAGAGACAATCCTGGTGAAAGGCCTGTCAGGGGAATCTGAGGCCAGGAACATAGAAGGTAGAACCAATCAGTTTCAGGAGTTCCCCAATGTTGCGGCCAACCTGGCCACCCTGGGAGCTTGATAAAATAAAGTCTTCTAGGCTGCTACTTTGGAGATTTGAATTCAGTAGGTCACAAAAGACCTAAAATCCAAAAATCTGGAGTCTGCCGGTGGCATGGTGGTTAAGGTGGCCAGATCCCACATGGCTACCCGGATGGTTCAAGTCCTGGACCAGCAGCTTGAAAAACACACCAATGTGTGTTGAACGCCCAAAATCCCAGGGGGAGAAACGGAGAAGGGATTGCAGCATAACCGTCCCCCTTCAGGGGCACTTTCTTTCTTTTTCTCTGTCTCTCTCTGGCAGGCAAATGTGCCCTCTAGCAAAATTTAAAAAAAGAAAACCCCCAAATCTGTATTTTTGAACCCTGCTGAGTTTGGGAGCCACTGCCATAGTCTAAGGTCTTCTAGGGACATTTCCTGCTCCCTACTCTCTCTCTCTCTTGTTGCCAGAGGGCGTGTGCTCACGGCAGAGGGAGAGAGAACGAGAGACTCTCTCCAACAGGCCACATCAGGCCGCAGTCCTTTCGTCTCCATTCGTCCATCCCGCCAGGATCTAGGGCTCGCAGGCACCCGTGCCTGGTGTGCTTCTGAAGCTGCAGGGCGCGCCAGTCGAACCTCGGTTGGCCATGTGGGACCTGGCGATGGACAGCTGTCAACTGCTGTGCTGCCGGGCGGCCTTCGGTTGCCTGCAAGAGCAGAAGTCTAGGGGAGGGCGGGGACTTGGCCACAGCAAGCTGTGGCTCTGCTGGGTTTTGAGTCCAGAGCTCGCCACTGCTGGCCATGGGAGGGGCACGGGGCACTTCCAGGAGGTGCCCG